GAGAACATCAGGTCTTTAGATTGGACACCCAAGCCAGCTATAAATGCAGTAATGACAAATTTCTCGTCTGGGATGTCCACTTTTAGCGATTCCGAGTTAAACCTCTGAACATAGGATATGAGGTTCTTGTGGGGTCTCTGTTTCACTTTTAGCAAGTGGTAACTCAGCTTTCTGTAGGTTCGAGCTCCTATAAAGTGAGACACAAAGGATATGGATAACTCCTTAAAGGAGGATATCGAGGATGGGGGAGCCTATTGAACCATGCTAGGGCTGAGCCCTTAACGTGATGGCAAAAGCTATATAGCGCACTGGATCCTAGTATCCATGTAACTCCATCTGGTTCTTGTAGGTGTTAAGGTGATCTACGGGATCCTTTGTTCCATCGAAAGCGTTTATTTGTGGTATTTTGAATTTCATAGGGAGGGAAAAATACAGTACCCCAGTGGTGAACAGGGATTCAGTCTGCTGTACCAAGGCATCCATGGTAACTGGAGCCCTGCTTCTCACGACTTCTTTCATGTGACTGAGCTCTTGTTGGATACCTTGGAAGCGCTGCTCCCAGTATTATTCTCTCTTTTCCTGTTGATAGGGGAAAAAATTGTTTCTCTCACCTTCTTCGTTCTGACTCTATCCTTCGTCGTTGTGGCCATTCCTGGGGGGTAAACGAGATTCTGGCCCCATGGTTTGACTATTTTTTCCTTCTTCGTTAACTTCTCTGAAGGGGTCGAGGTGTGGTTGCTCCCTAGGTGGGAGGTTGTTCTGGCCTTCTTGAGCATGTCGTGCTTCCTGTGGGTGTTGTAAGAGCTTTAAAAGTTCTTCGTTTTGTTTTAGCAAGCATTGATTAGAGAGGCGAAGAGCCTCCATCTCGTTATTCATGGGGAGACCCCCCCCACTAGGAGATTGGTCTCCTGGACGCTCTTGGGTTGTCTGCTATTTGCAACNTAGAGGGGGCATCAACCACTAGGAATCTTATTGTAGTGGTTGAATGGTAGGGGGTCTCCTATAGTGAGCACAAGCTGGATTGAGCCTAGTGGCAACACCCGTTCTCCCGTAAATCCCAACAGGTGAGCATTTCACGGGCTCCAACTTTTCCCTTCCTATGCTCATTTTGTCAAATACGGAAGCAAAAATGATATCTGTTGAGCTTTCGTTATCTATTAGAACCCGATGAACAGTTTTGTTAGCTACAACAACCCTTACCACCAGCGGGTCGTCATGGGGGTGTTGGTATCCCTCCAAGTCTGCATTTGAGAATGTGATGTCTAAGCTCAGCCATGGTNAAGTTGGAGAATTAACACAATAGAAATATAGTGGTTCACTAGCTCGAGAGCTCAGCTAATCCACTCTTCAATAGAGATTATTGCTCCTTCCTTCACTATTTACTATACCAAAAGGTTTACAAAATGTAAGATGTGATACTAGGGTTCTGCCCCCACTGTTGGAGGCGTTACATAGTATTTTATAGGGGTATCCCTTAATCTATTAGATCTAATCCGTAATCCTTGCCATCTATGCGAGGAATTCTCCTTGATCTTAGGAGAGTATCTTGGTTGGTTGAGGATTTTGTGCCTTGAGTGTTACTTCAAACCGCCTGTCGAGTTCTTTGTAGTATCCAGTTACTTTCTCATTGCTTTAGCTTATTATCTCGCTTGAGGGGAACCCTAGCTCTGATTTTCTAAGCTTTGCATAGCTCTGACTTTTTGAGCTCAGCATACCTGACCTCCATATTTGACCTTCGTTTCCGAACTCCTGCTCAGGAATCATTCTGAGTATCATCACAATCAATTGAAAAGAATCTCCAAAAGGAAGATGAAACTCATAGAAGAGCACAAAAAGACCTCCCTTTGACCACACACTTAACTAGATAACTAATTGTTTCTCAGATATATTAATCTCTCTTGTGGCATTATTGCTAAAAGAACAAAATTTTACAGGCCTTCGCTTATTTAAAGATAAATGTACAAATATAAATACATAGTCACATCTTCTATAACAGTATGCCAACAAAGTTTGATTGTAGTAATTGAGTTCAACCCTTGTTCTACTTCCATGAAGACAAAGATTCTCCGTGGACTCATTTTAGCTTCACAAAACAAGTAGGGTAAAAGGCATAGACATATAATTTAAAAACCTACTTGCTTGTCAAGGAAAATCCACTAGAGTAAATGTATTTTGACGTTGAAAGAGATATTATAGAATCAACACTAAGTTTTAATAGAGTAGACATTTTCTTAATAGAAATACAAGCTACTACCAAAAAATAATCCTAAATAAACAATCTATATAACACAAACACACAACTAATAGGCAAATAAAAAGATAGATCCAATAGACTTAAGTAGCTACAGTCCAGACAATATATAACATAAATAGATTATCAAAGCTAAGATTCAATTTAGAGAGAAATCTGAATTAGATGCATTTAACAAAGAGGTTGGCGAATTCACCAGATCACGAAGACCAATCTTTCTCCCATTGGGTTGAGTCAGTCAACGTCTGTAGTCATTCGTAAAATTAGATCTGTGAAATGCCAAAAAGTTCCAATTCAAATATACTAAATCCTTCACATAAGGAATGGTATCTAAAACCCTCAAATTAATGCTTAAATGCGGATCAAGCCATTATGGATGTTGACTCTCAGAAGAGAATATTAGGTCTGGTGGAAGGTGGACAAACTTAAGGAAGTAAAGAGGGATTTTGATGCAAAGGCAACAAATATTATGAAAAAAATATTCTTTTTCATCTACATTTGAAACCACTATCTATGTACCTAAATAACTACTGTTCGGGCAATATATAATATGTATGAAATTTCAAAGTTAAAGAAGCAATTTAGAGAGATCTCAATCAATTCAACTGACAAAGATTGACAAATTGCAAGAATTATGGGAATGATTTGTTAACAAAAATTCATTACCTGATGAAGTAGTACAATGATGGTTGTGTAATGCCAAGACACAAAAGCCAGCCAACGTCTGACAAAAAGGGGCGAAGAGTGATGGCAAATAGGATTTCAAAGACTTTTTTGGTCATAGAAGGTGAAGGGAGGAGTCTACGAATTTCAGGAGAGAGATAACGACTTTTAGAGAAGAAATAGGGAGAGATAGAAAGACAGAAAAAAGAGAGAGTGCAATGGCTGAGTAGTAAAGGGTGTTTGTGAATTAACGAGTGCGAGGTTAATGAGTGAGAATTAATGGAAAGCAATTAGAAGTTCAATTTGTCATTAATTCTGAAGAAGGACGACCTAGTTGTAATGTTATTGAATGAAGTTGAAAAAAATTGTCTTTCATAATATTTTATTAGTCGGTAATATTATGTCATATTATCGCGTGGTATTGTCCTTCTATTGAAAGTTTTCCCCAAAAAAGGACCCAATCGTTACACTCGACGCGCTTAATTCTCCATGCGCGGGCATTTCCATTCGTCTCCTTTNTCGGGCAATATATAATATGTATGAAATTTCAAAGTTAAAGAAGCAATTTAGAGAGATCTCAATCAATTGAATTGACAAAGATTGACAAATTGCAAGAATTATGGGAATGATTTGTTAACAAAAATTCATTACCTGATGAAGTAGTACAATGATGGTTGTGTAATGCCAAGACACAAAAGCCAGCCAACGTCTGACAAAAAGGGGCGAAGAGTGATGGCAAATAGGATTTCAAAGACTTTTTTGGTCATAGAAGGTGAAGGGAGGAGTCTACGAATTTCAGGAGAGAGATAACGACTTTTAGAGAAGAAATAGGGAGAGATAGAAAGACAGAAAAAAGAGAGAGTGCAATGGCTGAGTAGTAAAGGGTGTTTGTGAATTAACGAGTGCGAGGTTAATGAGTGAGAATTAATGGAAAGCAATTAGAAGTTCAATTTGTCATTAATTCTAAAGAAGGATGACCTAGTTGTAATGTTATTGAATGAAGTTGAAAAAAATTGTCTTTCATAATATTTTATTAGTCGATAATATTATGTCATATTATCGCGTGGTATTGTCCTTCTATTGAAAGTTTTCCCCAAAAAAGGACCCAATCGTTACACTCGACGCGCTTAATTCTCCATGCGCGGGCATTTCCATTCGTCTCCTTTGGCCTTGAGAATATAAACTGCAACTCGCTGTCCCAAACTCAGCCCATCGCATCCGATTCCAACTTGATAACCTCCGTGACTCACTTCTTCCCGACGATCCAACAGTCGTCACCACCCCCTCCTCACAGATCCAACCCTCATCGATTCAACTGCTAGAAAACAAGAACAGAAGCGGACAGAACATGTGACAACATTCTTTGATCGAATCATTTTCAGATCTACAGCGAATTGGATTATTTTGAGCATTGTTTTGGTTTGGAATAATCAATGGCGACGCGGAATAGGACCTTTTTGTATCGAAAGTATAGAGATGCATTAAAGAGCGTTCGAGTTCCGACGGGGTCTTCGCCGTCCTCGTCAAGCTCCGGCGGACCAGTGATCGAATTGGCGACGACGACGTTGCTTAATCAGAATCGCTCTTATGCTCCTCTCAGTACTGAGGATCCCGGAACTTCCAGGTACATCACACGCCATCTCTCTCTCGGTGTCGATATATGTANACATAGAAGGTGAAGGGAGGAGTCTATGAATTTCAGGAGAGAGATAACGACTTTTAGAGAAGAAATAGGGAGAGATAGAAAGACAGAAGAAAGAGAGAGTGCAATGGCTGAGTAGTAAAGGGTGTTTGTGAATTAACGAGTGCGAGGTTAATGAGTGAGAATTAATGGAAAGCAATTAGAAGTTCAATTTGTCANTCATAGAAGGTGAAGGGAGGAGTCTACGAATTTCAGGAGAGAGATAACGACTTTTAGAGAAGAAATAGGGAGAGATAGAAAGACAGAAAAAAGAGAGAGTGCAATGGCTGAGTAGTAAAGGGTGTTTGTGAATTAACGAGTGCGAGGTTAATGAGTGAGAATTAATGGAAAGCAATTAGAAGTTCAATTTGTCATTAATTCTAAAGAAGGATGACCTAGTTGTAATGTTATTGAATGAAGTTGAAAAAAATTGTCTTTCATAATATTTTATTAGTCGATAATATTATGTCATATTATCGCGTGGTATTGTCCTTCTATTGAAAGTTTTCCCCAAAAAAGGACCCAATCGTTACACTCGACGCGCTTAATTCTCCATGCGCGGGCATTTCCATTCGTCTCCTTTGGCCTTGAGAATATAAACTGCAACTCGCTGTCCCAAACTCAGCCCATCGCATCCGATTCCAACTTGATAACCTCCGTGACTCACTTCTTCCCGACGATCCAACAGTCGTCACCACCCCCTCCTCACAGATCCAACCCTCATCGATTCAACTGCTAGAAAACAAGAACAGAAGCGGACAGAACATGTGACAACATTCTTTGATCGAATCATTTTCAGATCTACAGCGAATTGGATTATTTTGAGCATTGTTTTGGTTTGGAATAATCAATGGCGACGCGGAATAGGACCTTTTTGTATCGAAAGTATAGAGATGCATTAAAGAGCGTTCGAGTTCCGACGGGGTCTTCGCCGTCCTCGTCAAGCTCCGGCGGACCAGTGATCGAATTGGCGACGACGACGTTGCTTAATCAGAATCGCTCTTATGCTCCTCTCAGTACTGAGGATCCCGGAACTTCCAGGTACATCACACGCCATCTCTCTCTCGGTGTCGATATATGTATCTCGCATATTCGGCATTTGATTGTCTTTCTTAGATTTTCATTTGTTTCTCTGAAATTTGTGGGATTAGAGGTATTTTTTGCTTGTAATTTATGCATACGCACTTGTATACCTGGCACTATGTGACGCAAAAGGAAAGAAGTGCTCAATGGACGACACTTAGTAAGGATATTTTGGGATCAAGTTGGATACGATTTAGACAATTGAAGGATTTTACTTCTACGGATATAGGTAACATGAAAGGAATGACTTTTTGTGTTCCCGATGTTGTAAAACGAGGGGAATAGGTGTCTCTTGTGTGCAAACAGAAAAGAGCATTTCACTCATGATTTTATCTGATGATTTATCCAATAATTGTAAAATATGGAGTTTTAGAGGTATAGAAACGCATACACAAAGATATACAGCCGTGTGTGTCTTTATATGTCTCCTGGTTCAACCATAAGGGAGTTCAGCTGAGGAGGTTTAGTCCCTAAAAATTTAGAATGCAAGTATTACCACATTTTATTGTATCAAGTTTTAATAAAAGAATATTAAGTTGTCAAATGTTGCTTATTATGGCTAATAAGATATAGAATTAGGGCCCTTGGTTACTGGGTATGCATAACTGGTGTTGTGTTTCCACCAATGTGAGGGGATATTTTTTAAGAGCCTAAATAAAGTAAAAGTAACTTCTAATCTTAATGTACTTTTAGGAAAATATCATAATCTTTGAAGCATGGATACGGATACGAGATACGGATATGATACGACAATATATCAAAATCCCAAAAAATAGAATACGGATATGATTGGGATACGTCTATAACTATATATTTTTACTATTATGTAATGACTTGATTTCTATAATTTTTAGTAATTCTTTAACAAAAATAAACAATATTAACAATTTTTTATTTTTGAAAAGTTACCTATCGTCTCACTGTGGTACATCTATAAAGTGAACATGATTAATTAAAGAAATAAGAACCAACATTTAATTACATTGTTTGCTTAGAAGTATTTGTTGTTAAGATTATAGAGTAATCAACTCATTTAAACTTTTTGAACATATGATAATGGATAATACTTGGAAAACACGAATATGTCTTCCCTGGTCATATGATTTTTTGTTGATGTATTGTGCGTTGTATGTCAAAAGGAAGGGGTAAAGATTAAAATTAAAAATTACATATACTTCTCTGCATATAAAAGTACTAGCGATAACCCGTGCTGAAGGTACTGTACAATTCAGAAAAATCAAACATTAATCATGGAGATAGAAAAATGAAGTATTGAACATAGATAAACACTAAAATTAAAGTCTAAACTACATCTTTAAGACACTTGCATTGTAATGAATAAAAAATTGCAAATCAAAAAATAGAAAAAAAAAAGAATTAATTAGTGACATGATTTGTACAAATTCATGGAACAACTGTAACTCATCAACATGAAAAATCAAACAAATACATGAAAGCAACTGTAACTCAATTACATAAAGGCAAATATATCAATGAGTAGATGGAACACACACTATTCACACTAATATTAGAATAGCAAACAATAGAAATTTCTTTAAATCACATAGCAAAATTAAATAAGCTATTGGTTACAACCAATTCACACTGCATTACTCTATCACTTTATTTGCCAATCCAATTATTTGTTCAAATGAAAAGAACCCAATACAAATTATAGCTTATAATCCCACGGAGAGCTCACAAATATTATGGAAAAGCGTTAAAAAAAAAAAAAGTAATGCAGTATAAAAAAAATACCTCCAAGAATTTTCCTCAATTTTGAGACTCTGTGCAAAAAATTGGCAGCCTCCACCATCAATATTTAACATAAAAGTTAATTCTATCAATGATAAGAGTTGTAGTTTATAATAGAACACATCCGCCTACCAAAATGATTTGTTTGATACTTGGGTTTAGGTTGACTCCTTTAATAGATATAACACAAATTTATGAGAGGGACTTTAAATGCCCATACTTTTATAAGAAATAACTGAGTAAATAATAAGANCGGAACACACACTATTCACACTAATATTAGAATAGCAAACAATAGAAATTTCTTCAAATCACATAGCAAAATTAAATAAGCTATTGGTTACAACCAATTCACACTGCATTACTCTATCACTTTATTTGCCAATCCAATTATTTGTTCAAATGAAAAGAACCCAATACAAATTATAGCTTATAATCCCACGGAGAGCTCACAAATATTATGGAAAAGCGTTAAAAAAAAAAAAAGTAATGCAGTATAAAAAAAATACCTCCAAGAATTTTCCTCAATTTTGAGACTCTGTGCAAAAAATTGGCAGCCTCCACCATCAATATTTAACATAAAAGTTAATTCTATCAATGATAAGAGTTGTAGTTTATAATAGAACACATCCGCCTACCAAAATGATTTGTTTGATACTTGGGTTTAGGTTGACTCCTTTAATAGATATAACACAAATTTATGANGAGGGAGTTCAGCTGAGGAGGTTTAGTCCCTAAAAATTTAGAATGCAAGAATTACCACATTTTATTGTATCAAGTTTTAATAAAAGAATATTAAGTTGTCAAATGTTNAAGGGAGTTCAGCTGAGGAGGTTTAGTCCCTAAAAATTTAGAATGCAAGTATTACCACATTTTATTGTATCAAGTTTTAATAAAAGAATATTAAGTTGTCAAATGTTGCTTATTATGGCTAATAAGATATAGAATTAGGGCCCTTGGTTACTGGGTATGCATAACTGGTGTTGTGTTTCCACCAATGTGAGGGGATATTTTTTAAGAGCCTAAATAAAGTAAAAGTAACTTCTAATCTTAATGTACTTTTAGGAAAATATCATAATCTTTGAAGCATGGATACGGATACGAGATACGGATATGATACGACAATATATCAAAATCCCAAAAAATAGAATACGGATATGATTGGGATACGTCTATAACTATATATTTTTACTATTATGTAATGACTTGATTTCTATAATTTTTAGTAATTCTTTAACAAAAATAAACAATATTAACAATTTTTTATTTTTGAAAAGTTACCTATCGTCTCACTGTGGTACATCTATAAAGTGAACATGATTAATTAAAGAAATAAGAACCAACATTTAATTACATTGTTTGCTTAGAAGTATTTGTTGTTAAGATTATAGAGTAATCAACTCATTTAAACTTTTTGAACATATGATAATGGATAATACTTGGAAAACACGAATATGTCTTCCCTGGTCATATGATTTTTTGTTGATGTATTGTGCGTTGTATGTCAAAAGGAAGGGGTAAAGATTAAAATTAAAAATTACATATACTTCTCTGCATATAAAAGTACTAGCGATAACCCGTGCTGAAGGTACTGTACAATTCAGAAAAATCAAACATTAATCATGGAGATAGAAAAATGAAGTATTGAACATAGATAAACACTAAAATTAAAGTCTAAACTACATCTTTAAGACACTTGCATTGTAATGAATAAAAAATTGCAAATCAAAAAATAGAAAAAAAAAAGAATTAATTAGTGACATGATTTGTACAAATTCATGGAACAACTGTAACTCATCAACATGAAAAATCAAACAAATACATGAAAGCAACTGTAACTCAATTACATAAAGGCAAATATATCAATGAGTAGACGGAACACACACTATTCACACTAATATTAGAATAGCAAACAATAGAAATTTCTTCAAATCACATAGCAAAATTAAATAAGCTATTGGTTACAACCAATTCACACTGCATTACTCTATCACTTTATTTGCCAATCCAATTATTTGTTCAAATGAAAAGAACCCAATACAAATTATAGCTTATAATCCCACGGAGAGCTCACAAATATTATGGAAAAGCGTTAAAAAAAAAAAGGTAATGCAGTATAAAAAAAATACCTCCAAGAATTTTCCTCAATTTTGAGACTCTGTGCAAAAAATTGGCAGCCTCCACCATCAATATTTAACATAAAAGTTAATTCTATCAATGATAAGAGTTGTAGTTTATAATAGAACACATCCGCCTACCAAAATGATTTGTTTGATACTTGGGTTTAGGTTGACTCCTTTAATAGATATAACACAAATTTATGAGAGGGACTTTAAATGCCCATACTTTTATAAGAAATAACTGAGTAAATAATAAGAATCTCGATAACAATTTTGTCTAGTAATAACTTGTGCTTAAAGCAACTTGTAACTTAAATAAATCATTCAATTTGAAATAGTTTTTCAAAAAATTGATATCATTGTAACCTTGCTATTTTTTCAAAAACTTTATGCAAAATTTACTCTTAAAAAAGGAATCCAAGAAAATCTCAACTTGTTTACAGATCTTATATGTCTAATTGTATATTGCATTGCCCAATATAAACTATTGCATTGCTCAATATAAACTATTGCATAACCAAACACAAATCATTATACTTACTAATATCAGCACACTCCTTGTATAGCATAACAATTTGAATCCAACAAATATTTGCATAACGATTATCAATCCTCTACATAGAAATTTGGGCCACCAAAATGTCCTTCCAAGCCATATTTATCAAAGCCTTGCTCTTGATCATGGATTGAATGTCATACCCATCTTCCACACTCGCCAAATGCCATATAATGCTTATACACAAAACTCCAAGTATTACCGCAAAGCTCATCATTTAATGCAACAAAGTAAACATCTAAACAAACTAAATTTTATCAAAATCCAAACATACCAATAGAAAAGAGATATAATTTGAGTAGAAAAGCACCAAGGTAGTGGATCAAAACTAAATGAATAAGATATCAACAAAGAATGATCAAAGTAAGGTACAACTACTGTAGAAAGTAGTATTTGCCAAATATTCCAGGCAGCCAAAGCTGTTCTAATGTATACATTAGGTATATGCACTTTCAAGTATAAACACAATCTTATGATATAATTATTGCACGAAACATTCTATTTCTACTGGGTATGAAAAACTTGTACCATGGAGTAAAAACCAAGCATAAGAAAATCTTACCCACGAATGCGACTTCTCAACTCATCAATTGAAATCCAATTCCTTCCATAACCAAAACTATGGACTTTATTTGGTTTTAAGACTTCCTATGAATGGCCAAAGCAAATCAAAGTTAGCATACCAGTTGCTAGTTTCTTCGAAGTTTTAAAACAAAATTTTTTTTTTTAATAGCAAATGAAAGGTAGATATTTGACTTAATTAATAACAGTGGTAAATAATCTATTTGGGGAGTGAGNAACTTTATTTGGTTTTAAGACTTCCTATGAATGGCGAAAGCAAATCAAAGTTAGCA